CATGATTCTGGAAAAAGCAATCACGTTATCCAAAGAAATGCATGGTTCTGATTCAAATTTTACTGGTTCTACGGGGTGGCTTTATCGGTGGAAGGAATCGACATGGTGTTCGCGCTCTGAAAATTTGTGGTGAAGATAAATCTTGCGATGACACGGTGGCTGCCGAGTTCATTCCAGAACTCCGTGACATTGTCGAGTCAGGAGCATACTGTCCAGATCAAATTTACAATGCCGATGAAACCGGACTCTTTTTCAAGTGTTTACCCGACAGAACATTAGCTTCGAAAAAAGAGGACAGAGCGACTGGATACAAGCAGTATAAAGACTGTGTAACAATTCTTGTTGATACGAACGCATCAGGGGAACACAAACTGCGTCCCCTGTGCATTGGCATGTTCCAGAACCCACGCTGCATGAAACACGTGAACCGAGAAACTTTACGCCTCAGTTACAGTCACAGCAAAAATGCTTGGATGACATCGGAACTTTTCAAGAATTGGTTCCACGAAGAATTTGTTCCATCGGTACGATCATTTCTTCGCTGGCGTGGTTTGGAGCAGAAGGCAATTCTATTGCTTGACAATTGTCCCGCCCACCCTGATGTCACTAAACATTGTACACAAGACGGCAAGATTCGTACAGTTTTTCTTCCGAAAAACACAACAAGTAAAATACAGCCAATGGACGCAGGAATTATTTCTGCACTGAAGAAACGCTAAAGCAAAAAACTGCTTCACGAAATCGTTACCCGGGATGTCATAAATTTGCAAGATTATTTGAAAACTTTGGACATCAAAGAAATGATCTACGTCACCGGTGAAGCCTGGAGTGAGGTGATGTCATCAACGATAAACAAGTGTTAGAAAAAAAGCCTGGGGCCCGCCATTTTCCCAGTCGATGACCACTTGGAAAATGACGATGATTTAGAGTTGGATGAAGACGTCGTCCCGTTGTCAGAGATCGTCAGAGATTTGCAGCACATCGAAGAGTCAGTGGCGAAAACC